AGATGATCTTCTCAGGTCCCTTCCAAACCTAGAAACTATGAAGTAGTTGGGGTTAAGGGTATGTGGTAGCTTTTTATAGAGTGTCTGTCTATACAAGCCAAAACAGTATAGTCCACTACTGTGAAGACAAACCAGTATAACTAGTTCATATCAGTGTAGCTCATTTTTGCTAATATAAGAGAACTACACTAACTTAAGACACCTCTCTTCAACATAATCCATCTACATCAGGAGTTGCATCAATGTTCCTATTTTGTTTAAAAAAAAAAAAAAATCACTCCAAATTAAAATAGTTACTGTATTTATCCATATCTAAGATGACCCTGAATTTAAGATGACCCCCCAATAATTAGATTCTATTCATGGAAAATGTATACATTTATTATAATTTTCTATGTATGTAATCTAATTACTGGAGGATCTTCTTAAATTCCACCCCCTGCCCCACTACAGGCGATGGGGCAGGCAATGGTGGCACACTGAGAAGGCAGTAAGGGGGCAGGTGGTAGAGAGAGCAGTGGGGAACAGGCAGTTGGGGGGGAGGCATGCATTTTGTGCGCCTACCCTCCACCTCAGGCCCCAACCCTCTTCATCCCCTTCTCCCTCTCCTCGTTGCTTCTGTGCCCTACAGCCTTAGGTTCCCACCCACTTTCCTCTTGTCTCTACCCCCCCACCTCCCCCCCAACTTACTTTTGCTATGGTGCTTGCAGGCTCCATCCACTGGAGCACTATGCATGGATCAGACCAGGCCCCGAAGCAGTGGCATAGAGCTGGCACTGCTGCTACAGGGCCTGGTTGATGCCATGCTCCATGTTTCAGGCTCCAGCAAGGACGGAACCTGCTGCCGCTGGAGCAAAGGTAAGTGGGGCTGTGGCAGATGAGGAGGGGTTGGGAGAAGCAGCATAGGGTGAGAGAGTAGGTGCAGCAGGGGCCCAAGGCTGCAGGAGAATCACAGCAAGGGGTGCAGAGGCAGAGGGGGTGGGACAGGCAGGAGCTGTGGCTCTGGCCCTGACCCAGGGTTGCGGCTGGAGCTGCAATATCTGTCTGTCCCTGCTGCCTAATACTCAATTCTAAGATGAGGGTCTGCCCTACCCCGCCATGTTAAATGGAAGAAAAATATTTTAATCAAATAAACACAGGAAATCAAGTGAGTACAAAAACTGTATGTAAAATAAACGCAACAAACTTAAGTCAGATGGGAGTTCCAGTTCACTAAACACAACTGTGTCTGATTTTTAAGGTTGAGAGTTTCAAGAGGCAACACCATCCTGTGTTTGCCAGTCTTTTCTCAGACATGGTATTGACTAAAGACTTTTAAGGCAGTAATTTTATTTTCTTCTGTGCGTACAATCTTTGTCCAACTTTTCGCTTTTAGCAAATAATTTCAGACCTTCCAAGTAAAAGAAAGAACTCTAAACAAGATTTTTTTTTTATATTCTGCATTTTCCTTTCCTGCAAGCAAGATGGGCACTGCACTTGACCTGTTTTCAGTTCCCTTTTGAACTACCACTTAATTTAACAGCTTGATGGAGCAGAAAATGAAAAATGAACACACTAAAATCTATTTTTAAGAGTGTGTACAAACTATGAAAGCTATGTGATCCGTGTCCTTTCACTGAGTGGCAAGTCTCACAATTTGAACTTAACACTAATTGACTGTAAGACTGAGATAGATACCTACTCCTTTGATGAGCAGAAAATCCTGCAGAATTCTGCATGCTCCTATAAAATAAAATAAAGCAGTCAAAATTTAGGAACATACCATAGTTGAAACACCCAAAGCATAAGAATACCTACTGCTGCACATTTAGACTGCTAGTCATGTGCTGCCTTGTAGACGCTGCGTGGCTTATTAAAACAATAAACACAGAAAGAGTTCTTCAAAAAATATTAGCACCTTCCAACTAACTAGTATAGCTAGGACTTGAACAATTTTCAGATTCCCATTCACCCACCGGCTTATTGGTTAATACAGACTTCTTTCATCATTTCACTCAGAAAATAAATTTAAAAACTAACCTCATTACACTTTGTTAGAACCCACACATTTAAAAAGTCTGAATGTAAAGGAAAGGGGGTGCTAGTCAGGATAATCTGACTTAGTTCTCTATTCTTATTTGTAAAACTATGCTACCTGATCTGAGAAAGAGTATAGTCTAATTTCTTCCACAAAGATGACATCATTGCTGGAACTTCAATTGTTGTCTCTGGTAAAAAAAAAAGAAAAAAAAAGCAAAACAAAACATTTTTAGAGAGCTAACACAGGTAGCTTGAGAGAAAGTTGGAAAGCCAATGTCATAATTAAAATATTAAACTAACAGTCAACAGTTATATTTTGAAATAGAGATTTAGACACTCAGGGGCATAATCTCACTCAAAGAAAATAGCTTACATAAATGCTTAAATTCTAAGTCACCTTTGAAAATGAGATTCAATTTTTTTCAAGATTCAAACATATCAGCTCCAAGATGAGATATTCCCCCCCCTATATAACATGACGAAAAAGTCCCTCATCTTCCAACGGAGTATGAGGCAGCAAACGAGCAGGCAGCTGCTACAGCTCTGACTGGCCTTGACCTGGGGTTCGGGCCAGAGCTGCAGTTGCAGCTGCAGCCTGCCCCTCCCACTGCCATTGCTCCCTACTGCCTCTGCCTCCCTCCCTATAGCCTCACTCCCCCCTTTCCCCCTACCCCCGCAGTCTCTGCCTTCCCTGTACCCCCCCTGGACACTTACCCTTGTTCCAGTTTGTCTCCAGCATGGGTTATAGGGCAAGGTTAAGTGGCAGTGGGGTCAGCAGAGGCTGCACAGGAGGTGGGGGCAGGCAAGGGAGCAGAGGCTGCAGGGGGGAGACGGACAGGGGCAAGTAGTGGCAGGGGGACAGGTGGAAAGAGTAAGGTTTGTGGGGGGGACAAAGGTCAAGCTGCTTGACTCCCCACACTGCCTGTCCTCCTAGCATCTGCCTCCTGCCACTGCTGCAGCAGTGAGGGGGATGAATTTAAGACAACCCTCCAATAATCACATTCTAGCAATGAAAAACTGTAACTAATTAATAAATTGTCCATGTCTAGAATCTAATTATCAGGGGGCTGTCTTAAATTCAGGGTTGTTCTGGTTTTGGATAAACAGAATAATTAAAAAATCTGCCTTCAGATCGCTCATTTTAAGGAACAATGAAAACAACTTATATTTTTTAAGTCTATAAATTTAAAATACAATGGAAAAAAAAGATTTCCAAGCAGCTAAGACTACAAACTGTAAAAATAAAAATTGCAAAATTATATTCTTGTACATCCTGGAACCTTGCTGGAGATCCCAAGTATCTGAAGTTCCCATTAATGGCACTCAGTCGATATCACAAACATTTCAACAGCTCCCAAGATCAAACTCATAGATGCTGCCTTTTTATTTCAGGCTAAATTAGAGCACCATTTTTATACCCACTAGCCAGAAAATCACTTTATTAACTCAGGTAAGCTCAGTAACATTCAGCTCATGTCACCTTCCCCAGATTTATACAGATACCGCCTCCCTTTATAACATTCCGCAAATACATACTGTTGTTATTCAATTCAGGTAAGGTATTTTTCCCCATTAATCATGGGAAAAAACAGAACCTCGTCTTAGACTCGAGTATCACATCTGGGAGCTGGGAGAAATGGCTGTGCAGGCAGCCCAGCTGAGGCAATACAGATTCCTGCTCTGACACCCCCCCCCCCCCCCCCTCTGC